GCGCGTGATAGTGTGTGCGTGTGTGGTGGTGTGTGTATGTGCGCGTGGTAGTGTGTGTGCACGTGTGGTGGTGCGTGTGTGCTTGTGGTAGTGTGTGTGCGTGTGGTGGTGTGGGTGTATGGGAGAGTGCATTATGTATAGCGGAGATTTGGGATAATGTAAAGTATCAAAGTGGAAAATGAGGTGTTGTCCCTTGAGCTAGCATTGTGGCTCTTTGGAACATTGCAGCAGACCCAGGACAGAAATGTTAACATTGAGATGGCAAACAACCAGGAGGCCAGGGCATTCCGACACACAGAGCAGGTCTACATCCAGGTCTCAACATTCAATAACTTCAGCATCATGTCTGTTCTCCATTTTACTAACATTCTCTTTTCACCTCACCACACCATACCACCCTCCCCACACACACACACACACACACACACACACTCTCTCTCTCTCACACATACACGCTCTCCTTCACACACACACATACTCCACACACACTCTCGTACATTCACACAAACACTCCCGTACACACACTCTCTCTCTCTCTTTGACACCTTAGTTCACATTATCTTACATCTGCATTTCTCTTTCTCCACCACTTTCAACCCTTTTGTCTTTTGCACTAAGCCTTCACTCTGTCATAAGGACTCATTTTCCAATCCCTTTCAGTTCTGACGAAGAGTCATAGAATCATTCCCACAGTGTGGAAGCAGGCCATTTGGCCCACTGAGTCCACACTGACCCTCCAAAGAGCATCGCAATTTTGCACGTCCAATCCACCTAATCTGCATATTGTTTTCAAAACGCTGACTAACAGACATGCTGAGTTTGTGCAGCACTCTCTGTGTTTGTTGCGGATTTCCACCATCCACAGTATTTTGCCTTCATGTCTCTATAGAATGTTTATTGCTGTATTTAGCCAGGTCCTAAAGAGATTCATTGGCAACTAAGAATGTGACAAAAGTAGAATGCAACACAGAAAAGTGGATTTTAACTAACCTTGGATGTACAATTGACTACAGGATTACTTCCTCCACCTGCCTCTAATCCAATTATCTAGAAATAAAATTGGAAGATTTAGTCTTAAAAGCAGCTACTTAATAATATTTTCAAACAAGGTATTTCTTAAGGAATACTTACTCTATTCATTTTAACAAGGACACATGGCTTTCCTTCATTATAGCCAAAACTGCTATTGTTTTTACCAGAGCATTCACCAAGCGTTGTCCGGTTAAACTGACAAGCCTTTTTCTCCAATATATTGTCCGGTTGAATGAGGTACTCGCCAGGGCGACAGTGAATATTTTTTTGTGCTTGTATCAAATCATCGTAAGCTATTAAACAGGAAGCATTGAAACAAGAATGAGTTAAGTAAAGGAGGAATACTAAAAAATATTCAAATCAATCAGTACTTACGTCTTAGAAAACCATCAAGAGCAGTCACATATTTTTCATAAGACTTAGAATCAGATTTGTTAAACACAATTTCCAGGGAAGATCCCACTTTTGGTCTAATCATAAGACCTACGAAATAAAGAAGGAAAACTGCTGTTAGTTCGTCTAATTGCATATTAAAAAAAAAATCAAAAATAATGTTTTAAATAGCCAGCCAAGTACCATTTTTTTCAATGCTAGGTGAATTTCTGTGTTTCCACAGTGTTTCAAAAAAAAACCTTAAGGTTTGGCTAAAAGAGCAGATTCGTTGACGCATGTTTTGTGGGAGATTTATTCCAGTGAACCTGTTCAGGGGTGCTATTGCATTAGACTTTGTTTTAACCTGCGCTGTTGACAAGCCAGGAAAAGGTATATACCTCAAATACCGCAATGTTCAAGTATTTATACTGTGCATAAAGTATAACAGTGATGTTACCTGTGTGATGTTTCTATATTTACTGTATGGCTTTACATTGATTTTAGGAGGGGCTTTGATGTTTATACATAGATTTTTTTTGAGGGACGTTGATGCCTCGAAGCTTCACTTGGTAAGGGTTTATTGTGGTGATGCATACCTCTTGATTATCCGGAATATTAAATCAACCAGCAATCTCCTGGTCCCTTAGGTGCTAGTTAATAAAACGTTTGCTGTACACCTGAGTTACCTGGTCCAGAGGTAGGGACACTACCACTGCACCACATACACCACCCCCGCCCAAGGTTTTGGGGTAGTAATGACATCATCTGCCATCATTACACCTACAAAATTGACAGCAACCCCTCGACACAGTACATCTTTTCTTATTCTGTCACTGAATGTGGGCATCACTGGCCAGTCCAGCATTTATTCCTCACCCCTAACTGCCCTTGATCCACCTTCATGAACTGGTGTGATACATAGAGAAAAACAAAGGTAAAGCTTCAAATCAGGGAATTTTAAAGAAGAGTCATATCAGCCTTAAAACGCTAACTCAGTTTCTCTCTCTGTTAATGCTGCCAGGCCTGCTGAGTCTCTCCAGGATTTCTGGAGTTTCAATCAATGTTACTTCTAAACTGTGCAACTGCACAGCGATCTCCAAAACTTAGAACATAACATAAGAACATAAGAACTAGGAGCAGGAGTAGGCCGTCTGGCCCTTCGAGCCTGCTCCGCCATTCAATAAGATCATAGCTGATCCTTTCGTGGACTCAGATCCACTTACCCGCGTTCTCACCGTATCCCTTAATTCCTTTATTGTTCAAAAAAAATCTACCTTTTTTTTAAAAACATTTACTGAAGTAGCGTCAACTACTTCACTGGGCAAGGAATTCCACAGATTAACAACCCTCTGGGTGAAGAAATTCCTTCTCAGTTCAGTCCTAAATCTGCTCCCTCTAATCTTGAGGCTGTGCCCTCTTGTCCTAGCTTCACCTGCCAGTGGAAACATCCTCTCTACTTCTATCTTATCTATTCCCTTCATAATTTTATATGTTTCTATAAGATCCCCCCTCAATCTTCTGAATTCCAATGAATATAATCCCAATCTACTCAGTCTCTCCTCATAAGCCAACCCCCTCAACTCCGGAATCAACCGAGTGAACCTCCTTTGCACCCCCTCCAGTGCCAGTACATCCCTTCTCAAGTAAGGAGACCAAAACTGCACACAGTACTCCAGGTGTGGCCTCACCAGCACCTTGTACAGCTGCAACATAACCTCTCTGCTTTTTATTTCAATCCTTTTAGCAATGAAGGACAAAATTCCATTTGCCTTCCTAATTACTTGTTGTACCTGCAGACCTACCTTCTGTGATTCATGCACAAGGACACCCAGGTCCCTCTGCATAGCAGCATGCTGCAACTTTTTACCATTCAAGTAATAATCCTTTTTACTATTACTCCTACCAAAATGTATGACTTCACATTTATTTACATTGTATTCCATCTGCCAGACCTTTGCCCACTCACTCAATGTATCTATGTTCCTCTGCAAAGTTTCACAGTCCTCTGCACACTTTGCTTTGCCACTCATCTTAGTGTCATTGGCAAACTTTGACACCCTACACGTGGTCCCCAACTCCAAATCATCTATATAAATTGTAAATAATTGCGGTCCCAACACCGATCCCTGAGGCACACCACTAGTCATTGACTGCCAGCTAGAATAGCACTCATTTATCCCCACTCTTTGCTTCCTGTTAGTCAACCAATCCTCTATCCATGCTAATACTTTACCCTTAATGCCATGCATCCTTATCTTATGCAGTAGCCTCTTGTGAGGCACCTTGTCAAAGGCCTTTTGGAAATCTTGGTACACCACATCCACTGGGTCCCCATTGTCCACCTCACTCGTAATGTCTTCATAGAGTTCCAAAAGATTTGTCAAGCATGACCTGCCCTTCATGAACCCATGCTGTGTCTGCCCAACGGGACAATTTCTATCAAGATGCCTTGCTATTTCTTCCTTGATAATAGACTCAAGCATCTTCCCCACTACAGAAGTTAAGCTAACCGGTCTATAATTCCCCATCTTTTGTCTACTTCCCTTTTTAAACAGTGGCGTCACATTTGCTGTTTTCCAATCTGCTGGGACTGCCCCAGAGTCCAGCGAATTTTGGAAAATTACCGCCAGTGCACCTGCTATTTCTCCCGCCATCTCTTTTAGTACCCTGGGATGCATTCCATCAGGGCCAGGAGACTTATCAATCCTTAGCTCCATTAGCTTGCCCAACACTACCTCTTCCGTAATTATGATTGTTTCCAGGTCCTCACCTACCTTTGTCTCTTTGTCTATTACTGGCATGTTATTAGTGTCCTCCACTGTGAAGACCGATACAAAATACCTGTTCAATGCCTCGGCCATTTCATCATATCCCACAACTAAATTCCCCTTCTCATGCTCTAAAGGGCCAACGTTTACTTTAGCCACTCTTTTTTGTTTTATATATTTATAGAAACTTTTCCTATCTGTCTTTATATTCTGCGCTAGTTTTTTCTCATGTTCTATCTTACTTTTCCTTATAGCTCTTTTTGTGGCTTTTTGTTGACCTTTAAAGTTTTCCCAATCTTCTAGTTTCATGCTGTTTTTGGCCACTTTGTATGCCTTCTCTTTCAATTTGATAGCCTCCCTTATTTCTTTAGACACCCATGGCAGATTACCCCTTTTCTTACAGTCCTTCCTTTTCACTGGAATATACTTTTGCTGAGCACTTTGAAAGATTGCTTTGAAAGTCCTCCACTGCTCGTCAACTGTCCCACCATAAAATCTGTTTCTAGTTTACTTCAGCCAAGTCCTCCCTCATTCTATTGTAGTTCTCCTTGTTCAAGCACAGGACCCTGGTATTGGATTTTATCTTCACACTCTCCATCTGTATTCTCAATTCAACCATATTGTGATCACTCCTTCCAAGAGGATCCCTAACTATGAGGTCATTAATTATTCCTGTCTCATTACACAGGACCAGATCTAGGATAGCTTGCTCCCGCGTTGGTTCCATTACATACTGTTCAAGAAAACTATCACGGATACACTCAACGAACTCCTCCTCAAGGCTACCCTGACCGAGCTGGTTCGACCAATCTACATGTAGGTTAAAATCCCCCATGATAATTGCCGTACCATTTTTACAGGCATTAGTTATTTCTTTGTTTATTGCCCGCCCCAATGTGACGTTATTATTTGGTGGCCTATAGACTATGCCTATCAGTGACTTTTTCCTCTTAGAATTTCTAATTTCCACCCAAATGGATTCAACCTCATTCTCCATAGAACCTATATCATCTCTCAGCACCGCCCTGATGGCGTCCTTAAATATCACAGCTACACCACCTCCCTTACCTTCCTGTCTGTCCTTCCGAATAGTCTGGTACCCTTGGATATTTAACTCCCAGTCGTGACCATCCTGTAACCATGTCTCCGTAATGGCTACCAAATCATATTCATTCGCGATGATTTGTGCCGTTAACTCATTAACCTTGTTACGAATGCTACGAGCATTCAGGTAAAGTGCCTTTATGCTAGCTTTCTTACCCTCATGATTTCCAACATCTCTAATAATATCTCCTGAGTTATCCTTCCTTTTTGCTTCTTTCATAGTCTGCCTTGAACTTAAACCCTCCTGCACACATGCTAACCTACTGCTTACCTTTTTATTTACCATCCTACTCCCTGTCGTTTTCCCTTTCCCTTCCCCCAACTCACTAGTTTAAAGTCCTAGTGACCACCCTATTTATCCTTTTTGCAAGAACACTGGTTCCAGATCGGTTCAGGTGGAGACCGTCCCATTGGTACAAATCCCTCCGGTTCCAAAACTGATGCCAATGACCCATGAAATGGAACCCCTCTTTCCCACACCACTCCCTTAGCCACGTGTTTACTTCCCTAATTTTCTTATCCCTAAGCCAATTTGCACGTGGCTTGGGCAGTAATCCGGAGATTATGACCCTTGAGGACCTGTTCCTTAATTTCGTTCCTAGTGCTCGATAATCCCCAAACAGGTCCTCCATTCTAGCCTTGCCTATGTTGTTAGTCCCAACGTGGACCACAACAACTGGATCCTCCCCCTCCCGCTCCAATATCCTTTCAAGCCGGTCAGAGATGTCCTGCACCCTGGCACCGGGCAGGCAACACACCATGCGGGACTCCCGATCCGGCTTGCAAAGGATACTATCTATCCCCCTAACTACAGAATCCCCTATAACTACCACTTGTCTTTTTGCTCCCCCCTCTTGAATGGCCTTCTGCACCATGGTGCCACGGTGAGCTGGCTCATCCCCCCCGCAGCCCTTTTCCTCATCCACACAGGGAGCAAGTATCTCGTACCTGTTGGATAAGGTCAAAAGCTGAGGCTCCTCCACTCCTGAACTCAGGATCCCCCTACCTGCCTCACTTGCAGTCACACCCTGTTGTCCCTGATCACTAACTGAATTTGAATTACTTAGTCTACCAGGTGTGACTGCCTCCTGAAACAAAGCGTCCAGGTAACTCTCCCCCTCCCAGATGTGCCGCAGTGTTTGAAGCTCAGATTCCCGATCTTCAACTCTGAGCCGGAGTTCTTCCAGCAACCAACACTTGCTGCAGATGTGGTCACTGCCGTTCACAATGCGATCAGCT